ATTGTGCCCGAGCAACTGTTCTCTTGTCAAGTGATCCGGACCTAGAAATTGTGGGACTATCGATGTGTCTAATGCCTGTACTATGGAGTGGAAAGTTTTGGACACACTTGACTTGGAAATTCCAAAAAGAGAAGAACACTGACTCCAGGAAATGTCGGTTTTCAGTTTTACCCAGAACAGTAATAGAGCATCGTGTGTAGTCTTGGTATATATACCAGATGAAAGATATGGGGAACAGTGCGAGTGGATTTCGAGGAACTGATCTTTGGACCAACCTGTCCAGGCCATGCATGCCGAGTCATCAAGAGAAGAAAAGCTTATTGTAAACGCAGACTGGTTCTGTGAAAGGACGTGCGACACCTCTAGGAGGTCATTAATGATTTCGGACGATTTTGATGGTAACTGAGATTCCAAGGAACCTCTACCATCAAGGACAACCTCTGTAGACGGATCTAAGTCGTTACCAATAAGGTGAATGGAGCAGACGCGGGATGAGGTGGGACACCACAGTTTGTGTGAATAGATCAGGTGATGTCTTGCACGTTTTGGTAAGACTGATGATTTTGTTCCATTTCTTGCAAAGGTAACAAGACAGAGACAGCATTTTTTGTGTGAAGATGATCCATTCAAAAGATCATGAAGGGTCAGCAACGGCAGGATATGGGACGGGGAGTCGTCTTCTTCCTCTATTTCCTGGTTCTGCTCGGGTTCAGGTTCAGGCTGATTTTTGTTCCGAAGATACTTCATGTAGCACTTCTGGCAAATAAGTGCTTGTTCCTTTGCTGACATCAATCCTTGTTGCACCAGCGTATCTAGGAGCCATTTATATTGTGGACTATTTACATTGCGTGCACTTCTGTTCTTATTGCCACTACGTTTCTTGAAGTATACTTGACACCCTTCTCCAACACATTTACCCTCCATCTTGAAACAATAACGATTGGTTTATGAAGCGTCGATAAAGTAACAAAATAGCAAGCCACCGATGATTGCTGTAAACAGCTAATACTTAGTAGTTTGGTACAATTATGCGAAAATGTGTGATAAATAACGAACAACTAATTACACAAAATAACAAGACAATATAATAAATCACATTCAATACCTCCAAGAAGCGCAGAATTGATTGATTACTTAGAACAAAATAAAGTATTTCATATGGATAATCTATCTATTCGATGTGGCGTGGTCGGCAGGCACAAAGAAAGTGAGACAAGTCAGGGTCCCAACCCTGACAGAGCCACAACGCTTTGGAGATGGGACAATAAAACAAGGAAAGTGAGACAAGAATAGCTAGCGTCGAGTCAATGATTCCGTAAACGTATAGACAAAGACAAGAAGATACGGATAAATGTACAAGGCCACACGATCAGAAAATTCAGAAGAGGACAACTTGAGATAGAACAGTATTCATGTATCAGGGTGTCCTCAGTGTAAATCTTTATATCGATACTGTTTATTTAGTCGTTACACATCATAAAACTGTCATGAAAATATCCGCTCTGATATTCAATATAAAAGTTTGTATATAATAAGCTATATAATAGGGTTTCAGACAAGGTTGTTACTCATTTCCCCTTTTCTTTCAATTTACAACCACATTCAGGCGGCGATATGAGAACGTTCCACCACATGGAATTAGCTGATTTTTGGTACACATATGAAACAAGTAAAGCTCTATCCGATTTTCTGATGGAAATTTGCATCCAAAACTATATAACGGAGAAAATTGCAATTTTATAGCATTTATCTTCATAATTGTGTCTCAGCAAGTGCATTTTTATCCGAGAATATTTTTTTTTTATGTTTTATGAATAAACACGATGTTTTGGAAATATTTATCAAAAGAAATTTATACTATGTTGCGAATTACAATTTCGAGATAACCTTCTTTTATTTACGAACTTATGTCTTTGATGCTGAAATTGACAACTTTATAAAAATACATTTTCACTGAAATTATGAAATCTGGGCGTCGGAAAGGTGTAAAATTATTCTTCGGAAAAGAAAAAATACAGTAGTTGAGCTAGATAAGAAATTATACGGGGGCAGGCTCCTATGGAGAATTAACATTACTGGAAACAGGCCCTTTGGACAAAATCCTGTCATTCCTACAAGGATTTTGAAGAATTTGCTATGTTTCCCCTATTGGACCCTGCTCCTCAGCCCCCAGAGGGGCCACGCTCACCCTTTATACAAAATTAAGTCCTTTTTGCCCAAGGATGCTCCAGACTAAATTTGAATGAAATCCCTGAATCCTTACAGTAGAAGAAGGATTTCAAAGGTTTTACCTCTATTTCCCCTATTGGGCCCCTCTGCCCTGAGGAGGGCCACAACCGCCATTTATACAAAATTGATTTATATTGGCCTAAGGATGCTCCAGACTAAATAAGGATAAAATCCCTTAATCCCTACGGTAGAAGAAGGATTTTAAAGATTTACCTCTAATTCCCCTATTGGACCCTGCCCCTCTGCTCCCAGGGGGAGCACACACACCATTTATACAAAATTAAGAACCCTTGGCCCACAGATACTCCAGACTATATTAGGATAAAATCCTTTAATCCCTACGGTAGGAGAAATATTTTGAAGGTTTCACCTCTATTTTCCCTATACGGCCCCGCCCCTCTGCCCCAAGGGGGACCACACCCACCTTTTATACAAAATTGATTTCCCCTCCAAATATGATGTTTCTGTTCATTTTTGGTCAAATTACCTTCATCCCAACGAAATAAGAAGGGAATTAAAGCTATTCCCCTATATCCCTTATTGGGCCAGACCCACCGTTTATAGAAAATTGCTTCCCCTTCACCCAAGGGTGCTTCATTCTAAATTTGGACAAAATCCTGTCATTCCTACAGAAGAAGAATTTTGAAGAATTTGCTATGTTTCCCTTATTGGGCCCCGCTTCTCAGCCCCCAGGGGGACCACAATCACTGTTTATACAAAGATGAGTCCCTTTTGCCCAAGGATGCTCCAGACCAAATTGGTATGAAATCCCTTAATCACTATGGTAGAAGAAGGATTTTAAAGGTTTTACCGTTTTTATACAAAATTGAGTCCCCTTGGCCCAAGGATGCTCCATACTAAATAAGGATAAAATCCCTTAATCCCTACCGTAGTTTTACCTCTATTTCCTCTATTAGGCCCCCCTCTGCTCCCAGGGGGAGCCGTAAACCATTTATAAAAAATTGAGTCCCCTTGGCCAACAGATGCTCCTGACTAAATTATGATAAAATCCTCTATTCGGCCCTGTCCCTCTACCCCAAGGGGGAGGGGGGCACACCCACTATTTAAACAAAATTGAATTCCCTTGGCCCAAGGATGCTCCATACTAAATGAGGATAAAATCCCTTAATCCCTACGGTAGAAGAAGGATTTTTAAGGTTTTACCTCTATTTCCCCTATTTGGCCACGCCCCTATGCCTCCAGGGGGGCCACACCCACCGTTTATACAAAATTGAGTCCCCTTGGCCTAAGGATGCTCCAAACCAAATTTAGTCAAAATCTACCTTGCCGTTCAGGACTAGTAGCATTTTAAACGAAAAGTTGACGGACGGACGGATGACGGACGCTGCGGTATGGCATGAGCTCACCATGGTCCTTCGGACCAGGTGAGCTAAAAATGAAGAATATTATTATCAAAATTATGAATGTCCTCACATGGCTTGTCTATAGAGACTGGACGTTATAATAACATTAAAAGATCTCAAATGTTATGTACTCATTGTTTAACAAGAGATCCCAGAGGGATCTTGGCAACCACCTTTGTACCATCTTCATTAGTTCTTTGTCAGTTCGATCTTTTCTCTTCTTTCCTCTAATCTGTTTGATCGAGTCACGTTAACAGTAAATGCACCTTGAGGTAACTTTTGATCTAAACTTAATACTGATGGGTATGAAAGCCAACCTTCAAAGTGAGTTTGTCATTTCACATATTTACTAGTACAGTACTTAATGTGAAAGAAATAGAATCGATCATTGCAATATGAGAAAGATCTGTTTAGTTCTTCTTTTAATCCATTTTGTTTTTATGATCAGTCTCAAAATATAACATACACAACGAGGGATCAAGGGGAACCTACATTTAAAATTTGAGAAAGATCCCTCCCGTACTTCCCGAGAAATAGCGATAACAAACTTTCACTATCAAAATCCAAGATGGCTGCCTGTCGGCCATGTTGTTTATCCGATCAGTCTCTAAAATTGCCCTGCACAGCTAGGACCAAGGGGAACCTACATATAAAATTTAAGAAAGATCCCTCTAGTTCTTCCGGAGAAATAGCGGTAACAAACCTACAATATCAAAACCAAAGATGGCTGCCTGTCGGCCATGTTGTTTATCCGATCAGTCTCAAAAAAATGCCCTGCACAGCTAAGGACCAAGGGGAACCTACATATAAAATTTGAGAAAGATCCCTCTAGTAGTTCTTGAGAAATAGCGATAACAAACTTTCACTATCAAAATCCAAGATGGCTGCCTGTCGGCCATGTTGTTTATCCGATCAGTCTCAAAAGTTGCCCTGCACAGCTAAGGACCAAGGGGAACCTACATATAAAATTTGAGAAAGATCCCTCTGGTACTTCTTGAGAAATAGCGATAACAAACTTTCACTATCAAAATACAAGATGGCTGCCTGTCGGCCATGTTGTTTATCCGATCAGTCTCAAAAGTTGCCCTGCACAGCTAAGGACCAAGGGGAACCTGCATATAAAATTTTAGAAAGATCCCTCTGGTACTTCTTGAGAAATACCGATAACAAGAATTGTTTACGATTGGACGACGGACCACGGACACAGGGTGATTTGAATAGCCCACCATCAGATGATGGTGGACTAATAAGTGTGATTGAGGACGAATTCCATTTTCTATCAATATGTTCTCAATATCAAATATAATGAGTGGAATTCATTGAAATGTACTACTGGCGTAGGCCATCTGTCTTTAATTCAGTTGTTAAGTGAACAGAACAACAAGGAACTAAATAATTTATGTAAGTTTATTTTTGAAGCAACAATTTGAGATCAAGAAACCATACTTAAGTAATTATTTGTACAGTTGTGATGATATAAAATACATTACTACATGATCTTATGATTATATGTACCTGTGCTTCTTATACAACATTCTCTTTGCACTGATTGTACGCTAATTGACATATCATGTACCGGTAATTGGATAGATTAGCTGATGAGCAAAACTGATCAAGGCCTAATAAAGAACTTGAACTTGAGTGAAGTTTTAACTTACTTTTACTTTTAATACTTGTTGCATGAGAAAACCAAGTAATATTTATAGGGTCAAAAGAAAAATAACGTTTAAAACCATAATGTATTGAATATAATGAATTGATTAATTTGTATTTGTACTTTATCTAAAACAATAAACAATAAATTTACCTTTCTTACTAAATAAAACTTTTGAAAAGAAGGCAATGTATATCTTCGTTCATTAGTGTAATACAGTACCTTCTTCTCATAATGGCTCATACATGTGTACTTAACTCTAAACAGTTAAGAAAAAAAAAGGTTTTCATTTTCCGAACTGACCTTTAAAATTCCCTCCAGACTATAGGAGTTTTATACTTTCTATTCAAATGTGTGTTATTTTGAAGTTTTCCCCAGTAAATTTTATGTAAGATTGTATCCATATTTCATACAGAGTTAAGTTAACACATGTATATATAAAAAAAAAAGCAAAAAAAACCGGACTTATCAACAGTGAAAGTGAACCTACATATTATTTTTTTCACCTTAAAGTGACTGACAAACTTCAAAGTTCATGTACGTTAATGTTTCACAAAAAAATGAAAGAAAATGTCATTTACTACAGAATCAAAGGGAATGGAAAGAGAAACGCACACAAGTGATCATTTCAACTTGAAATCCAAAGAATCGTTTGGTACATAACGTCTTTTTAACACAAGCTAGAACAACAGCCCTCTAAAATTTGTTGAAGTATAGAACAAACTGTCCATTTCTGGTTAATAGATAGGGGGATAACTCCATCAAAAATGTGATATTCTTTTTTACGTCTAATTGCCTGTTCGACATAATACAAAGTCTAGCTATTTCATGCATTTTTTCAACCTCAGCTTTAGTAAACTTGCCCTTTTCGACCAAAAAAGGTGGGATTACAAAAGAAGCCTGTCTTTTTTCAAGCAAGTCCTGAATAAGAAACCCTTTATCAGCCATAACTTCATCATTTGGCTCTATTAATTCTAATACTGTACCAGAAAGAGCAGTTAAAGTCTTGTCAGATACACAGCCAGTGTACAATGTCCATATCTGGTTAATAGATAGGGGGATAACTCCATCAAAAATGTGATATTCTTTTTTACATCTAATTGCCCGTTCGACATGAATACAAAGTCTAGCTATTTCATGCATTTTTTCAACCTCAGCTTTAGTAAACTTGCCCTTTTCGACCAAAAAAGGTGGGATTACAAAAGAAGCCTGTCTTTTTTCAAGTAAGTCCTGAATAAGAAACCCTTCATCAGCCATAACTTCATCATTTGGCTCTATTAATTCCAATATACCAGAAAGAGCAGTTAAAGCCTTGTCAGATACACAGCCAGTGTACAATGTCCATATCTGGTTAATAGATAGAGGGATAACTCCATCAAAAATGTGATATTCTTTTTTACGTCTAATTGCCCGTTCGACATGAATACAAAGTCTAGCTATTTCATGCATTTTTTCAACCTCAGCTTTAGTAAACTTCCCCTTTTCGACCAAAAGAGGTGGGATTACAAAAGAAGCCTGTCTTTTTTCAAGTAAGTCCTGAATAAGAAACCCTTTATCAGCCATAACTTCATCATTTGGCTCTATTAATTCTAATACTGTACCAGAAAGAGCAGTTAAAGCCTTGTCAGATACACAGCCAGTGTACAATGTCCATATCTGGTTAATAGTTAGAGGGATAACTCCATCAAAAATGTGATATTCTTTTATACGTCTAATTTCCCGTTTGACATGAATAAAAAGTCTAGCTATTGCATGTGTTTTTTCAACCTCAGCTTTAGTAAACCTGCCCTTTTCACCCAAAAAAGGTGGGATTACAAAAGAAGCCTGTCTTTTTTCAAGTAAGTCCTCAATAAGAAACCCTTTATCAGCCATAACTACATCATTTGGCTCTATTAGTTCCAATATACCAGAAAGAGCAGTTAAAGCCCTGTCAGATACACAGCCAGTGTACAAAAAACTCACAAATGATACAAGTCCACATGGTGTAATTCCAATCAAGCTTTTAAATGTTGTGTGACTTTTGTAATTAGAATAGGTTTCTGAATTCAAAACTTTTGAACTAGGTGTTTGTACTTTAATTTCTGTACAGACTAAAATAACTTTTGTTTTTGGATAAGTTTCTTTAAAGGCGGCTGGCATATGACTGTCTATTACATGGCGAGGTGGCCAAATTGGTAAACTACCAAGCATCATGTACAAGTAGTTAGACCATGTTATCAATATTCTACTCACAGAAGACTGAGATATACTAAATCTCACTGCAAGGTCCTGCTCTGGGAAACCTTGACGAACTCTACACATGAACAAGAAAAACTGATCGATTAGTGGCAATGCTTCAAATCGATAAGTATTCAACTTAATGATTTCAGTATTTGAAAAATGTCTTTGCATTTCACTCCACCTGATCATAGTAGTTGTTGGCTGCAGTCCAATAAATATCCTTTTCAATGTTTCATAATCCTTGAATCCAGTATAAAAATTAATCATCTGTTGATCAGTGCTAAAACGACCCAAATATAAAACCCTGTTATCAACCTTATCAAGCTGATTTTTCAAATTACTGATTTCCTGCTTGGGAGCATCCAGTTGATCATCTGCGGATTGTGGTGGACCGCAGTAATCATGATCATTAGAGGGTGGTGGGCTATACGTAGGACCAGTGGCATCTGCTTCCCAGATATCTGAAGCTTGACCTCCTTGAGCTGGAGACCTGAAAATACATGTTTAACATTACTAACAAAAAACATTTAAATATTAATCTCAATTAGATTGATAACTTTAAAATAGATGTGTGCAATTATTACTTTAGAAACTAACAAAAGGTTGAAGATGCGTCGTTTTTTCAACTGTCTTGTTCAAATGACAGATAGGGAGGCAATGACGATAAATCACCTTAAAAGATATGAGCCGACAGCCGGTGTCATATAAAATTTTCATCCCCCATAAAATATTCATAAAATTTATGGGGGATGAATATTTTATGGGGGGATGAGTATAGGACACCTGGATCAAACCCAGTTTGTCGGATTATAAATTCAGTGTGATGCCAAGGCATTAGACCAACAGTTAAAGTCGTTGATAAATTTTATCGACTCACCAACCATGGTTTAACAACATCATTAGTTTTGAACAACTGGGTCCAGTTTGAGAAGATATATGAAACTTACTGGATATAATTTCGTGGATCATTCCATGTTGTGGTACGGGTGTCATGATTAATGTAGTAGGGTTTTCCATTCTTGTCATATCTCATCTCCCAGTTTTCTGGTAAGGGATTCTTCAAACTGCACTTGTAGGAACTGGTAGAACAGAAGATTATCAGTATTTATAAATCACACATATATTGCAAGAACAAAAATACTGTGTTCTAGGAAATTTTCGATGCAGTTTAACTTTCGCCTTTGACACCCTCGGTAAAGAGGGCAAATTTATCATAAAAGCCAACATTAGTGAACAACATAATAAACATGGCAAACAGATGTGAAGGGCGAATTTAACACTGGACGGAAACAGATTTTATCAGCATAGGGGAAAATTTATGCAGAAAATATATATAAAAGGTATACAGTCATATTTTTAAGAATATTCTCAAGAACAAATATGTGTGAATACAAATGTCTTCCAATAATGTTGTATAGTCAGAAATATATATTTTGACAAAATAATCATTTAATGTATTTGTCTAGCACATTGAAATAAAATATCTGTTAGTCATTTGACTATATTTTAAGAAAATGGTTTTATTTCCTATGACAAACAAGTACAAATTATAACACATATCTTGCACCTCTAGTCCATCCTTAAAATGCCAGGAGTTACGTTCACGTTCACTTACAAATAGTTGTCTGCTACCCCCCCCCCCCCTCACACACACACACCCTCCTGCTGAATTGTCCTGATAAAATTTGATTGGTTTCAGGTAAAGGAAACTGACCAATTACAAGGCTTATACCTGTTCCTTTGAAGACAACAGAGCAACACTAGACTTCAAAGCCAGTAAATTCTACTATTATGCTGCTACACAAATCCTTTTATGTGTACTTGAATATCAAACTAGTTTTATATACCATAAAAACCCATGTAATTTGCGCACCTGTGTAATTTGCGCAGGTACTTTTTGAAGCTGAAAATCGGGAAAAAAGGTTCTACTCGAATATTTTGCGCACCCAAAAAATCTGGGAAAAAAACGATGTTCATGCTCCTAAAAATCGATCTCAGATTATATTTTTTTTAAATATATTTCTATGATTTTTTTTTCATTGAAGAAATTACGTAAAATGTGTATTTTGTTGCTTGTTTTCTTTGAATTATCTGATCACACATGACACACACATGTGCACATATCGGCATACATCAATTCATTTTAGCAATATTTTACATAAAACATTTACTTGCTTACAAAAACATATCAATTAATAAGTAATTTGATGTTTAGTAACCGCTGGTGCATATCTCCTGGTGAAAGACATAATTAGAGACCTTTTATTGATCATAATTACGATAAGTGAGAAGGGCTCATCATGGCGGCTTGGGTTACGTCACTTCAAACCAGGTCATGTCACAGTTCAGTTTGGCCACGGAATTAGATTATCTAAGTCCGTGGTTTGGCGATATTTTTTTACAAATTACAATGCAGTAATGAGCTAACACTATCTCTGTGATTACCCGTTAACAATAGCTCTACTAATTGAAATGATTTGCAGTCGCGATCGACGGACCGTGTTGTTGTTTTTTTCACTCGCCAACACGTGGCGTGAATTACGAAGCCCTACTGCATTGTCATAACTACAGACTGATTTGACTGATAAGGGATTATAAAAAATATGTTTATACTAGAAGCGTGGACAATCAATACATCCTCTTCAAATCTACTCCAAGGAAAAAAATAGTTAACGCAGACTATTTTTACGATGCTTCATTTAATAAATATTGAAATAATTCACGAGGTTATTATCAATCACGTGTTTACGTAATGTTAGACGCGAGATCAACATGAAAGTGAGCCGGAAAAAAACCATGCTATACGTATACGCATAGGCGATTTGAAAAAACTTACAGAACTTACATAGAACGGAGCTTAAATTGAACAACTACATTTTCGTAATAGTATGGGGAAACGCACCGAGATGTCGAAACGTAATGTCGTAAGTTGATCGGCGATTCTCTGGCATAGGAATTTGGCTAAACTTTTTTTGTTAACGGTTACCTATTTATTAATACTTTTCACATAAACTCACATAACAACACATTATGTATCTTTTATTAATGTTTGACATAAATAAATTTGTTGATCGTCATTTGTCTTAGAGTTCCGTGTACCAAGGGACATAATCCAAGATGGCGATCTCTCAGAATCGTCGATCTTTTCCTGAAAAAAACTTGAATTTTTCTATACCTGTGTATTTTACGCACCCCCCACTTTGGGTATTAAATTTCTGAAAAAAAAGTGCGCAAATTACATGGGTTTTTACGGTATGTATCATTCACATGGTGGCGTGTACATACAGAGCCTTCAATTTCGTCATAGCATATAATCCAGGTGTGCAGCAAATGTAATATATAAGAATTTCATGGATGATAAACTTTGAATATTTAAACAAGATAATGTATCTCTTTAGCATGATTTAACAAGATTTGTTTTACCTCAGACAATATTACAAATATATTCACCTGTGGTCTCTAGGATCGTCATCACTTTTCTGACTATTTTCTCTATTAAAGAAGTACCTATCACCATTTGCTCCATATCTTAATTCCCAAGGTGGAGGAAGCGGATCTGTCAAACTGTAAAAAATAAATATTTTTGTTGAGACAATAGATTGTATTATAGGAATAAGTACTAGTGCCCTGCATTACTGTTAGATCTTTGGTTCTATGTAAGTTTTATCTTTTCTGTTGTTAATTTTCTTATTAGCTGAGGGTTGATATTCTCAATTTCACCTTAAAGTGGTGAATGATTCCTTTTCACTTACCCTGTTCATCCATTGTGTATTCTGAACATAATACAAGAGGCCCAGGGGCCTTAATAGCTCACCTGGTATTTCATTTTTCAATTTAAAACCTGATGAGTACAATATAGGTTTATCAAAGGAGTTTTCCCCCCTAAGCATGCTTCAGACCACATTTGGTTTAAATCCCTTCATTTGTACAGAAGGTAAATTATTTTTCTCTATTTCCCCTATTGGGCCCCGCTCCTCTACCCCTGGGGGTGGGGCACATCTTTCTTATATAAACATTAAATTCCCTTTGCCAAAAGATTCTTTAGAACAAGGTTGGTTAAAATCCCTTCATCGGTACAAAAGGAGAAGGATCTTTTATGTTTTCCTCTATTTCCCCTAATGGGCCCCACCCATTTGCCCCCCACACACCTCAGTTTATACAAATTGATTCTTTGTCCCTATAAGCATGCTTCAGACTGCATTTAGTTTAAATCCCTTTACTTGTATAGCAGGAGAAAAAAAACCCCTCTATTTCCCCTATTGCCCTGAGAGGGGCCACACCCACCGTTTATACAAACTTCAGGCTCCTTTGAGTATTATTTTTAAAGATTTACCTATTTTCCGCCTATTTCATAATTTGCCCCCGCCCCTCTGCCCCCAGGGGGACCATACCCTCTGTTTATACAAAACTGAGAACCCTTTGGCCAATGATGCTCCAGACCAAATTTGGTCAAAATCCTTCGAGCCGTTAATTAAAAGACTAGTAGCGTTTTAAAGGGAAAAGTTGACAGACACCGAACGCTGCGCCATCGCATAAGCTCACTTGGCCCTCCGATCCAGGTGAGCTAATAATGTTAGTTACAGGCTAAATGCAGATTTGATGTGACGGTGAATTGATGCATTGTTAACATGACGTTCTACAATTGTTATGCATTTATAAGGGAATCCTTTAGGTTGAGACTTTAAGACTTGCTAATTCCACCCCTGGGATGTTCAAATTTGGCAAAACCCTCAGCAAAGCCTCAGGTTTTACCAAATTTTTAAAATCCCTTTGGTGGAGTTTCCCTATCCTACAACACTGGGCATGAAAGAGCATTATTTTCTCTCTCATTCCAACTACCAGAATAAAACAAGAAACTTGCTACCATTTTCAAAATACATGTATCAACTTTCCCCCTGAGCTTTTGTGACAATAACGATCTGTAAGCAAGACTAAGCATACCCCATATTTGCGAACACAATTTGCACAGAAAAAAATAATCTCATCTTTCTAACTTGTATTGTCAACATATTGTAAAAGGTTTTATTTTCATCATGCCTCCTTTTCCTCATTGCGGTATCGGAATTTTCCATATTCGTGACCTCACCTCATTGTTGAGCAATATAATTGTGACCTCATGTCACGTGAAACAGGGTGTAAGGTAGAAATGTAAATCTATGACATTTGAGATAGCTCAGGGAGTGCTTTAATTGTGTGAAATAGCGCTAACGAACTTTATCTCTGAAAAATCAAGATGGCTGTCTGTCATTCATCTTTGCTTTCAGATCAGTCCAAAATTTCAACATGCATAATGTTAACTATATATATAGCTAATTAGGACCACAGGGGAACTTTCAAGAGAAGTTTCAGAAAGATCCCTTAGGGATGTACTACTCTTCTGAGGTTTCAATCACGTTCAAGTCTCGTTTTGATCTCTTGCAAGGGCATTTTGTAATATTTGACAAAGTATGATCAATTTTGATATCAAACATGCATCTGAAAAATGTGTCAAAAATCTGGGGGTCTGATGATTGTAGAATTTTTTCACAAGAATTTAAACAAAATGATTTACCTTGTAAAAACCAGGAACTTGATGACTTTTGGCGACAAATCAGGATCTGAATCCATTTCAATTTGTGTGAATTGTTTGTGGTGGCATTTGCTGCATAGATTTCTAAGTAAGTCTTCGATGATCCTCGACTCATCAAATCTAAATTTCTCCAAGGTTGACACCCGTCCTAGTAGGATTTCTATTGCCCATCCGTATGTGTAAGGGAAACACAATAGTTGACCGTAGGTTTGCTGTGGCACATTCAATACTTCCACTTTGACTATGCTATTTAACTCTAGCTGAAGTAGATGCCCCAAAGCATTCAGGACATCTCCAGTCAGTTCATAATTCTTGCTGCGGTCCGAATCTAACAGGAAAACGTGGTTTGGTTCTTTGCACCCAATGTTGGTCAGAAGTTTGCAATGGGCTTTCAATGGTTGTGATTCTCTTGCTAGTATCCAACACAGGAAATACCTTTTGGAGCTATTGTGGTTTCGATCCTCAGGCAGTGCATCACTGTAGAACATCATAGAAATAGCGACATTCCCGCCTGTTATTTCAACCACATTGACATGTTTGTTGCCAATATTTATTAGCTTTTCTTCCAGTTTACGCAGTATGTAAGTAATAACATCTTTGTTGAATTTCCTCTTTTCTATATAGTCTCGGATTTCTTTAGGAATAATTTCCTGCAAAAAAAAAGAAATAATTTGAGTTGGTACATAAAAAAAGCTGGTCCTAACATCTTTATCTTGATTAAGAATTGTCAAACTTCTCACAACATAACCTATGAATGAATTCAATTTTATATGACTTTGTGAGTGTCTACTAAGTTTCAAAATGATTTAATGTAGAACTGTAATTTGGTATATACTTCACGCCATCAACGAAAGAAATAAGTCAGAACTAGTACAGAATAAAGGAAACTGAAGTCCTTAGACTAAGATACACTAGTACTCATCCAGGCAATTAGGCATTCTTTATAGTTCTAGTGATTGTACAATTATTTGACAAAGATGGCCTTTACTCCATCCTGCCAGTCAAGCTTCCTTGCATATATATATATAGTCAGTTGCAAACAGTTTCTATTTATGGTAGCAACCGAAGGTTGTACAAGTCATCATTTAAAGGAATGAAAATCAGAGTACCTGTTCAGTTGCATCAGACAATGGAAGAACTTGTTCACCCAGTGGGACAGCCCTTTCTGGTTTAAAGAAAAACAACAGAACGTCAATACAACATTACAACAAAACTATACTTTCAATACATATTTCTAAACAAGAGGCCCAGAGGGCCTGTATCGCTCACCTGAATATGTTTAAAATGATTGGTATGAAGGAAAGATATAGCACTCCATGGTAGGTGCTGTAAGTACATATGAAATTTCAGAAAGATCCATCCAGTACATGAGATATAGCGAGAACAAACTTCAAACAGAGCCCCACCCCTATGACCCATATTCCCCTAGGGGGGGTCATACCCACCAATTATGCAAGGACCCAAGGATGCTCCAGACTAAATAAGGATAAAATCCCTTAATCCCGATGGTCGAAGAAGGATTTTCAAGGTTTTACCTCTATTTCTCCTATCGGACCCTGTCCTTCTGCCCCCTGGGAGACCACACCCACTGCTTATACAAAATTGAGTCCCCTTGACTCAAGGTTGCTCCAGACTAAATTAGGTTAAAATCCCTTAATCCCTATGGTAGAAAAAGGATTTTAAAGGTTTTACCTCTATTTCCCCTATTGGGCCTCGTCTCTCTGCCTCCAGGGGGGTCAGACACACCGTTTATACAAAATTGGTTCCCCTTCACCCAAGGGTGCTAATTCATACCAAATTTGGACAAAATTCTGTCATTCCTACAGAAGAAGAAGGATTTTGAAGAATTTGCTATGTTTCCCCTATTGGGCCCGTCCTTTCTGCCCCTGGGGGGCCACACTCGCTGTTTATACGAAATTGAGTCCCTTTTGCCCAAGGATGCTCCAGACTAAATTAGGATAATTAAAATCCCTTAATCCCTATGGTAAAAGAAGGATTATAAAGGTTTTACCTCTATTTCCCATATTTGGCCCCGCCCCTCAGGCCCCTTTGGGGCCAGACCTACGGTCCATAAAAAATAGGTACCCTTTCACCCAAGGATGCTTCCAACCAAATATGGAACAAATCCTTTCATTCCTACAGAAGAAGATGGATTTTAAAGAATTTGCTATATTTCCCCTATTGGGCCCTGTCCCTCAGCCCCCAGGAGGGCCAGACCCACCACTTTTTTGTTCCCCTTCCCCCAAGGATGCTTCAGAGCAAATTTGGTCAAAAACTAATCTGTCGTTCATGACAAGTAGTGTTTTAAAAGAAAAGTTGACAGACAGACGACGGACACTGCGGTATGGCATAAACTCACCATGATCCTTCAGACCAGGTGAGCTAAAAAAGTAGATTTTTGTATATGAATATATGCGTTTGTTGTCTTCCTTTTGAGTAGAATGTTTACATTTGCGATTGTAACAACAGTCGGTTATCTGGAATGTGTTCATAGTTATCTTGTTTTGTCATCATGTAAAAACTTCCTAAGTCGTCGTTAACAATCTGGAAACATTGATAACCATGTTTGGGAAATCCATTCATAGTATCTGTCACTTCAACTCATTACAAGAGTACGTTACTTGTCTCGTAGATAATTTAATTGCCACAATTAATGTTGTTGAAAAAACAGGCAGATGTATGCTTGCCTCGTACTCTGGGCCTAAGTAAGTAGAACGCTTGTAACGGCAACTGTTACTGACAAGCTTCTAAACACACTCTGATGTGCTTTGTAATATTTGACATTCTATATATACATGTATATATATGTCTTTCCTATGGCTGTTTAACGAAAAGAGCTGTTGGCGAACAGGCTACCTTTCCTTTTCATGTCATTTTTAAGTTAGTATTTTATATCAATAGAAATACAGGCATCTTATGAATTGTTTTATGTTGCTAAAGTACACCCCCCAGACAAATTCTTTTCAAAGGACAAGGACAAAGGTTAAACCATAGGTCACAGTGACCTACTTTTTGCACTTGAACACTCTGCCATCTCATGATGTACTTGCATAACTAAATAGAACAAACCAAGACAGTGCGACTTGTCTATACTAAAAGCAAAGAGGATAACCAGAAGATAATGAAGGAAAACTTGCTGTAAGAGAAGGAATGATTAACAGAGCATTTACCAAAATATAACATAGAAACGTATTTAATGTCAACCATATATATACCTTCTGCCTTAGGCTGTTGATTTTCACCTGTCACGAGTGTATTTCCAACGAGTCTTTCAGGCTGTTGAATATCATTGGTCACAGGCCTGTCTCTCTGTAAGTGAATGTTTATTTTTTATTTAAAGGGATGCAATAACTTTCTCCTCAATTACAGCAATCTTGTAAGTGATTTTTACCTTCAAAAACAAATGATTGCATAAAATTATTTCACCGAGTACAAATTCACAGCCTCTTCATACAGGAAGATAATCTACCATGTTCCATCTACAATGCTCAGTTGATTAACATATCTTACATAATATTATGATTGCATACAATTATTTTCACTGATTATTTTGAGGATTTACAAAGTAGATCAAGGTCAAATTAATTTAAGTTAGCTAACACTGGAGGTGTTAAAAATGTTTTCATACATTTGTGACATTGAAATTTTGGTCAAGGTCATTTATTCGAACAACTTTATTACAATGGCCCTAGGCCTCTTGGTTATTTAGAAGTTGTTGTTTAAGCATAATAACAACTTCAGGGTCTGTAATGTGCAGAGAAGGGTGTCAATGTCATTCATTTTAATGATATTGCTTTGCCTCAACATACCACTCTATACCGGGGTATATCAGGTAAATTTTGGGGTCCTTTAAATGACCCATTCCCTATTTAGAAAGACTGCAGGATATTCAAAACACAGTATACTTTGTATGAAGGTAGTACAAAATTGAGAATTATCATGTTGTCATAAAGATAGGGTGAAATAAATTTGCATGTAGCTGTATTCAGAGTTGTTATAATGATCATCACAATTTCCAAAAAAAAACGGTTCTAATATATTGATGATTTTACACAATTTCATCTCGGGGTCTATTTCTTAAACCCCGGGACTGACAAACCCCTGTCCAAGCTAAATATCATTATAGCTCAGGCTTTTTATGTCATCCTAAAAAAGTCATTTAAAACATTTACGCTTTTGACCCCAGTGGCCTTGAATATGAAGAAAGGTCAGTGTCATTTATATGGCCCAAACCTGACATATTTTACTTCAGCATGCTGTAAACAAAGTTCATCACTATATGCCTCATGTTTAGTTAGAAGTTGTTGATAGTATAGAAGATAAAAAGTTTTAGGACATTTGACCCCTGTACCTATAATTAGTCTGTGAACAAAATGTGAGAATGAATTAAAGCATACAGAACTTCTTTGCAGTACTAACCGTTTTACTTCGTTCAGGGTTCGATCCTGATTTTGTTTTCCTACGTCGGTCGGTGACGTTTGTCGTGAAGGGATCGGTTTCTTGCTGTATTGGGAAAAAATTACATTTATTAAAGGTAAAATAGAAGGATAAGTAACATTCATATAGCGTCCTAAATAATCAGTAAAATTACTCTAAAGCGTTTTACAACACATGAATAATAGTATTGGTTATTGAAGATAGAAAAAGGCATCTAAATCACCATTAAGAAGACAATTATTTCAATATGTATATATATATACGGGTAAATGAATATAAAATTAAAGAGTGGTGTGTACATAACGTCTGTGCAAAGAGCCTAATTATAAAATACAGACGTGAAGAGGGGGGTCTTTATATCGTTCTAGAATTTAGCCAGGGTTTTAGATTTTTTAATAGAAAAAACAATTTGCCATGCATTGATGCATGTTTTCAATGTAAGCTATACACAAATACATATAGTAACTGATTTCTGTATAGACCAACATTTGTGTACATGTGAATAAAAAGCTACTTTCGTAAAAAGACCTTGAATTGGTGAACTAAAATGGACATATTGGGACATCATTTACTTCATAAGAAAATGTTTGTCCATATTACATTATCACTTCTGGTGTTAGATTTGAATGGCAACACTTTTTTGTCATCAGACAACAAACATTAAAATAATTTGGGCAATGAAGTACTTACCTGTATTCCAGGTTCAACATTATCAGCTGTTGTACCATACTTTTTCTCGTTTCCTTTCGTTGAACTTTTTTTGTCATCCATCTCCAATGGGAAATTTCTGGAAAAACAATGTTATGTTCAGTTAATTAACTCATTCACCCCTGAAGACACATTTGAACTGTTCCAATTCAGCGGTTCTGGAACAGTCCATTATGAAATTGCATTGGTGAATGAACTAATTTATCAAAAACATCCAAAAAGTTTATAATTCAGGGATTAATGCAGGAATAGAAAGTTAGTACCTTTTTTGAAATGAGAGAAATACATAATGTAGACCTAAGACTCCCCAGCAGGAAGTGTGGCCACAGGCTAGAGCCAGGGGGAGAGAATGAGAGGTGGGATTGGATGATTTCTTGAATTTTTGTTTCTCGCTGTTCATTTGAATAAAGCATTTGCATGATAGTTATGAGTGTTCTCCACAGCATTTTTTTGATGCGCTATGGTATTTATTTTTTAACCCTTTCATCGTAGCGCGGTGTTGCCGAACATTTCCATGTCGCAACCCATCTATCCTGCACAACGCCACTTTGAGAAAACAAGAGTTATAATTGATGTAGTTAAATTTTAAATAAATAGCATTATTTAATAATCTTGACATTGCATTATTATTGCTCATTTTCTTGCCCTTTTCTTTATATTAATCATTTTTTTTATAATCACTATATATACATTTGTGGCAGGGTTCAATTGTACATAGGATTAAGGTCGCCTTCTAGCTTCGAGCTTGAGGGAATTTCTCTTCAGCTCAGTGGTACACTTTATTGCAAAAACAAATGGATAATTTTAGCAAATACTTAAAGCTGACAGTGCAAGTTAAAAAGCTTTCAATTGAGATTAAAAAAAACGCCATTTCAAAATATCTTTTCTGCTTTTGAGATCTGGTTATCATTTGTTCCAACGTGTGCTCAAGGTGACACTACTTTACAATATTATGTATATAACTCTTTCACGATTTTTTACCAACATTTTGTATCAGATCAGCTGAATAAAATTAAAATGGAACACATCAGCATTTATCTAAGAAAAGTGTAAAAAGTAGTAAAATACGACCAATTAAGATTAAAATCCCTTCCCCCCCCCCCCCAAAACAAAATGGCCCTGAAAGAGGGAAACATACCATGAACGCTAATGCCTACTTTTAAGAATCCAACTAGTTATAACCTCCTGTGTGAAATCAATACTAATTCCATTAATTTCCATGAGAATGGTTCAATTATCAAATTTCACTTTGTTGACTTCACACCTTGGGAGTGTCCCTTTCGCACATGTTTTGCTAGTAAAGGGTCTATACGACGAAGAGTTCATAATAAATGTCTGTGTGTTGATGTAATATTAAAAAAAATATTAATATAGGAGACCCCTATTTTTTAATATTACAAGTAAAGCGATCCATGCCCCTGTGGTTTTAAGTTCTATGCCTAAAATATGACGTTTGTGTTGAGTTGTGGGTAATAATCCCCCATTTGGGCAACATCTTTGTATGTTATGGTTCTTTGTATGTTATGGCAACATCTTTTTATGTTATGGCAACATCTTTGTATGTTATGGCAACATCTTTGTATGTTATGCACTTCAAATCTACTTTCACTATCCTATATAAAAAATCAAATTTTTGTAGTTCACTTACGTTATTGAAAATCGTCAAATCTATTGGTTATTACAAATTACTTTTGGTTGAACAGTTTTTGGTTTTGAAAGTATTTCACGACCTTTGAAGCCTTAGAAAAGTCGGGACATCTAAAGCCACGAAAATGTCAAAACACGAAAAAAAGTTCAACCAAAAGTTGTTTATAATAACCATATAAATAACGATTTTTAATAAAGATAGTGAAGTACAAAATTTTGATTTTTTGTATAGGATAGTGAAAGTAGATTCGAAGTATGCGCCGTTGTGCCCAACATGTTGTATTGGTCTTTCACAACGATGTTTACACATCAAAAATGTGTTGTAAAATCATTAAGAGTCATTTATCGAACTGATTTTCAACTTAGCAACATTAATGTTTGTCTTTTCGCGACATATAACCTGAACGTTATGCTTTGACGAAACCCCTCACCTGTTTAGTTCCGCCATCTTTCGTAATTTGTCTGACGTCATCGGGGTATAGTTATCTGGAAATTCCCGATTTTGTCAGAAGTTCGTAATGTATGTGGTTCCGCCCAAAATCCCGTTCGCCCTAGATTGGTATTTTCTTTTCATTTTTCTTTGTTTTAAGTCACAAATTAAGTCTTCTTAGTCTTCCATATCATTAAAATCAATTTTATTAAAAAGATGTGTTCGTAGGTTTTTTAAATAGAACACAATTAGGTTTCGATTCGATCCGTTTCGGTGATTTCTCGCACCCGTTATCTAATCGGAGAGGGTGTCGGAGGCGGGTTCGACGATTTACAGGAACGGGCAGGAACGGGCAGAAATGGGCAGAAACGGGCAGGAACGGGCAGAAACGGACAGAAACGGGCAGGAACGGGCAGCAATTTATTAATAATTATATACATTAATGAATATATATATTAGATACATTTAAGTATCATTATCGGGTATGAGATCTATTTGATAAAAGGATTGCAATTACATGATCGGGGCAGAATCGGACTAAATTATATATATACATTTATGACGATATTACTTATGACTGTACCTACATTTATAGTATCATATATTTTTTTATCGGGTATAAGATATATTTGATAAAAGAATTGCAAGGAATTAAGAGTATTGTATTGATATGGATCGGGCAGGAACGGGCGACGATTTACAGGAACGGACAGAAACGGG